CTCAATAGGGGTTTTCATGTACAGGTTTAAGGTTCTAATTTCATCCTGGTTTGACTTTCAGCAGTCAAGTACAGCTCTCTCTTTTCTTAATATGTATAATGTAAATCAGCTTTTTAGGGGGCACAAATATGCTGAATGAAACCGTATAATGACTTTGTCATTCCTGATTCTTATTGTCATTGTTCCATAAATGTAAAAATGAAGTTAAATATTTTGTATTATGGTACATGTATTAATTAGCAAGTACTTGTGGTTGAAAAATATTGTGTGAATGTAATCCTATTCAAGTCTTTAATTTATTTTAGTTTGATTCTTTTATTACTACAGGCATATGCTAGCTGTACAAAGCGGAGCTTCATCTTAATCACATAGTTCAATTTTTCTTGTTATAAATAAACATGTGTAAACAAAAGGTCTAGACCTATTCAGTCTTAACAAGAACATCTGTGTCACTGATGTCATGTATAATATATTGTACAGGATTGCCTGTAGTATTGTTCTTGATTTAAACTTAGAGAAACACTTCAAAAGTATTACAAGGTCATTGATATGAGCTAGCTAGGTTATACATGGTATACTAAAGTGGACTAGCGATATTTGAAAATTATTTTGTCATGATAAAATTTTGCACATTAAATTGCTGAAGAAAAATATCACATATTTCTGTACATGTATTTGATTTTAAAAAAAACGAAAAATTATTTTAAAGGAAAATAATTTGACTGTAAAGAAAACCAATGGATGTTAAGAAATAAGTTCAGTATTTGAACATAAGCTGAAAATATTGCTTTAAATTTGTTATGCATAAACACACAGATTTAAAGTTGGTTTATAAAAATTGTATAAACCAACTTTAAGTTTACAATCTGTGTGTTTACAAAAAGACAATATGCATACTTTGGTGGAGAATGCTCAAAGGTCCAAGTATCAGTCATTTCATTTATTTACCGGGTAATCTGTTCTTAAGAAATATTTCTGTAAAATTGTTCTGTAAATTGCCTAGTAAGTAATTAATGAAACCTCATGGTTGCAGTTTTTAAGGAAGATTATAAAAAGGAATTATCATCTGAGGATGAAGGTCACAAGGTGACTATGTAAAATTTTAACATATGAATTTCAAAACAGACACGTACATTAAATGTTTTACCAGAAAATGTATAGTTGTCGATGTATAGACTGTACAGTAAGGAAAGGTAAACCCTGGGAACCCTTTATTTAAATGGATAGACCCTTTCTATGCTACTCAAAGGTTCAGCTTGTCAGCATGGTATTTTGAGGCATATACAAAAAAAAAAAATCTTTATAAAAACATACTGTTTTCATATGTTATTTGATTATCTAGTGTTACAGCATTACAACAAGAAATGCCTGTCAGTAATACTCAAAATACCAGAAAGTATTGCGGACCCATCCTATAGTAACGGTCTGCTTGAGTTACTGGTAAATATAAAGTTTAATTATGTAAAACGGTTGGTTCACAGGTTACATTTGAGCAGTTTAAGAACACATTTGTCCACATACTGTGTCAGACAGCAGCAAGGATAAACCAGGAAACGCACCAAGACCATCTCAACACGGAACATGATGGGACTAAACGTAGGGGAAATAACTCTGATTCTGGTAAGTTATCACAGCTAGAATTATTTGCATACCTTCAATCTTTATGCTCAAAATATGTAGTGATGTCATGGACTTTTTTCGTATCAAATTACTAGGGCCTCGCATCAAGATGCAGATGGCCTAAAGCAATCAGTTTGTCCATCCGCCATTCTGTCCATTTTTCTGCTTTTTGTAAGATATCGTTATGAAGGAATTATCAGATTTTGCTCAAACTCCCTTGGAATTAACTAACATTCCAATGTTTCTTGCTCAGGTTCTATGTTCCAGAAAATCCACGGTTTGCATGAGGCTATACCCTGATAGTGTTCCACGTGATATCTAAATGGCAAAATAATAAGATTTTAAACAAACTTGCCAGCATGGTAATACCACTTTTAGAATTATATATCCCAAGTCTCTCACTCAGGTTCAATGTTCAGAAAATTCTGCACATGTTTAGTGAGTTTGCTGTTAGATTGGCTGATTGCTTTCTTTGCGATATATATTTTTAAAGGAGTTATCAGGTTTATTTTAAAAATGTTTTGATTGTAAACAGTACTTGGTGGATATCCTGCAGTAATAACACTATATACATTGGAATACTTAAATCCATTAATAATAAGATGGCCACCATCCTCTTTCACTGTTTGGCTGAGACATGTTTGCCTCTAAATTTTGGTGCATTATGTTTATGTTCATGCTTGGTGGTAAATGGTACTTAGTGGGTATTGATCATGGTGAAGATGTTGTCCTAGTCGGCCGGCCAAGTTGACTGCCATGGCTTCTGATACCTTTCAGATTGAAACTTGACTGGTCTGATGCTGTGTGATCTTGTTCACACCTAATGGTAACTGGTATTTGTCAGCTTACATACATGTGTAATGCTTCAATACAAATATGATGTATTTCAAAATTCTCACAGAGGTTTTTTGCTTGGCGAGTATAGGGGATCATATACGGACGGACACATGGCAGGGCCCTTTGCTGACCTGTCCATGATCTATAGTTGTAGGAAAGAGTTTAATCATGTTGTATCCTTGGGGAATAGGAATTGATGTGTGTCGATATATCCTCACTTTCAGAAAATTTGGGTGGGTCGATCTCTCTGTAGGAGAACTAGACTGGATTGATGGTCAGCAACCTGGTAGCTCGATTGGTAGAGAGTCTTTCTAGAGTTTGGAGAGTCTCGGGTTCAAACCTCGGTCTGGCCATGTATTTCTCTGCTCCTGTTACATTTGTTGCCCGTGTCACCAACCCTTGTTTCAAGTTCTATGTGAATGCTTGGCAAGAAGATACCCAAGTCTGGGTTATAAATAGTTTTGTCTTCTTTGTTTTGGGATATGTACTGCTTCCAACTGACTAAAAAGCCAGAAGTGGTGGGTGACTCCGGATCGAGAATTTTTTTCAGTCATCTCGTGTAAAAACATGTCAGATAATTCACCAGAAAACTGCCAATAAAATGTTTGGCTCTATGACTTTACTTTCTTATATTGTTGATATATCCAGTCAAAAAGCCATTGGTGATTTGATGTAAAATTTAAAAATGGAGGTTTGCATGTTGAATATTTATGGATTAAGTAATTTTATATGTCTTAAAAAAACATGAAGATATATATTCTATAGACACCTGTGCCATAGACTAGTGACAGTTTACCTGGTAGCTAGTATTACTACTGAACACTGTTCATATGGCTGTGAAGGAAATCTGAGCAACACATGCAAATAATAAATAAACCTGACGAGGAAGGGATACTAGAGGGCTTGATCATATCAGATGAACATAAAATTACAAGTAGTTCTCATATCTCCAAAAAATTACAAGGAGTTCTAATATCTCCAAAAAATTACAAGACACTTGCAATTACCTTAACTTGGTGAAATTTAATCTTGTATGAAAGTGTGATAGGGTTCTCCTACCTTGAACGGTGAGGGTCATGGCACCAATTTGTTATAGGACGAGAAATAGTGATAAAGATATATAGTGCTGTCGCTGGGGCCTCGAACCTGCAACCCTTGGCTCTCTAGCCTGATGCTCTACCGCTGTGCTAAAGGGAAGTTCCCTACTGCTGACACTTGTTAGGCAACCTAATCAATGCAATCTTTTACAAAAGTATAGCAAGTTCAGATTTGAGTGCTGGTCAGTAAGAGCATAACATGTTTTTGGGGAACATGTATATTAATTCACTCCTGGCTATCACAAACTGATGCAGAGGATATCATAGTATCGGTTTGATATTAGCCATGTTTATATACCAATGGTGAGTCTACACATGAGCTTACTTAGGCCTGAGGAGTTTATAAATGTCAAAGTTTGATGAATTCTGTACACTTGTTTATAATTATATTTCAGACATGTCAGATGAGGTCACCCCTGTGTACATTAAAGATGGTAAGCGATATGGCCGCCGCTCCAAACCTCTCTACCCGCAGCACAAGTACAATGGCCAAGATGAGGATTTGGATGTCAAGCCAGGCAAGGTAAGTGTAATCAGATACTTAGGGCAAGGTCATTTAGGTAAAGTAGATCAATATTCTTTAATCAGCATTTTTAGCTCACCTGGCAGGAAGTACCAGTTGAGCTTATGGTATGGTGTGTTATCTGTCATACATAGTCCGTCAACTTTTTCTTTGAAAGTCTTCTTCTTAAGAATTGGAGGACCTAGGGCCATGATATATGTCAATGTATTTTTTGTAAGTCAACAAAAATTCTTACCTAAAAAATTCCCAACTGATGAGAACTCAAAGTTCTCTATGTTAAGGTTTAACCTATCCCATATATATTCCACTTTGTTACCTGGTAAAATAACAAAGCCATTTGTATTTCAAGCAACTGACAAAATCAATATTTTTAACATGCTCGGATTGTAAGAACTCATTAGTGTACCATAATAATGGTTTATGTATGATACAAAATTCAGTAATATCATCAATTTTTTCAGTAATCATATTATTGCTGCAAAACAAATGTGAAACAATTGCAATCCATTTTCTAACTGTATTTTTACTCACTCACTCCTACATTTTAAAACTGGACTTGTCCAGTCTTTGATATGGTAAGGTTCATATGTGACTTTAGGGGTGAATATATACAAAACACCATTTTATTCCACAACTTACTTTATTTACCAGGCCTTCAAAATGAATAATTACACAGGCAAAAATGAAACAGAAAATACTTGAATTAAGATAATTAAGCAGTGTTGTACTATAATAGTTTAGAAGTAGTACATGTACAGGTATATACACCTGTGTTGTAGTATTGAATATTGTATATCATTGCCAGACCACTGGTTCATAGTTACTGATTGTTATCTAGGGTGACGTGTTAGCAGACGATCTCTGCATGACCCTACACAGTAAATAGTTACCCATAATGCTACTGCCATTAGCCATACATGTGTACAGGTGAGAGGAAGTGTGCACATGTACAGTCAACTGTATGTAGCTCCAGGTCAGATGGGAAAACGAAAGTAGACACCTGTGGTGTTTGTGCCTGCTAAGCAATGTGTAAGAGTGTTGGCTGTGACAGGGACATACATGGTAAGGGGCCAATGATTACCTTATCTAGGTGTGATTCCTACAGACATACTACCTGGGAAGTGTCACCTGGAGGAACATTTCCTATCCATACACTGTCTATAGACAATACAGGTACCTCCAGCGATAAGGAAGTGTATATGTGTACACATTGTTGTCCTAATTGCGACAGACCTCTGAGTGTAGGCCTAATGATCGACCAACACTGCTTTTAGAACAATCATTTTGAACAATGACATCCATATATAGATACATTAAGTTTGAAACCATGCTGTGAGATACTATATAGAGTGTAGGTTTAGTGTTTGTCGTCATTTCTTCTGTCTGAATCAGTGTGAGTGACAGGATCTTTTCTTCCTGTGGATGTGAAGCTGTGTTATATCAACAGGTTACACACATGTTACCTCTGTCAGCTGTGGCTGCTCGGTTCTCAGGGACAAACAAGCTACCGACAATCAATATATGTGTGCGCCCAGCGATTAGGTACTAATTCTGGTGGACCTGGAAGCAATCAGACTTGATAAGACAGTGATCATACTGCTCCAGGATGTAGTGAAATAATGAACAACTATCAAGGACTTCCAGGATTGTGTATTAATTACATCAAACAAAAAAAAACAAATCATCACATAGTATATTGTGTCGCTATAGGGTGTACTTAAAAGTTTGCTCAACTTGCAATTGAACTTTGCAAGCTCAGACAAGAACACAAATCATAAGACCTTATAATTTATCACACTGATACAAATATTCATTTATCATGCTGGATGCTAGCAGCTGTTTGGATTCAAGGCAGTAAACATTTGTCAATACTTTGTCTGTGCATTCACAGAAATTTGAAAAATATTTTGTGGGAGTGTTTTTGAAGTAATTATCGGTTACAATGCCACTATACAAGGATCTACATGCCTTCTATGTGCAGTGTACTAACTATGGCTTGTCTAGATTCAGTAGACCGCCCAGGCGTATCTTTTCCTACAAAATTTTACCGCTTGTTATTCTTTTCTGTATGTGCCTTATACTGGCAGTATTGATTTTACACATAACAATAGATTTGGAAACTGAAGAAACTTTAGATGATGGGAAAGAAGAGCTGAGAGAAGTTGAAACTGTGCAGAAAGATGATGATTCTGGAAATGTAGAGGAGGTGATTAAACTAGAAAGTATAAAGGATGAAGCAAAAAAGGTGTTCAACAACCGACCGCCTGAACTTTTAAACAATCGTGACTGCCAGGTGAACAATTTTGTGTTTATCAAGTGCATGAAATGTGCAACAGAGACCATGGGAACCATTTTGCGCAGGTACGCTTTAAAGAACAAGTTGAGTGTTTTATTGCCTCGAGGTATAAACATTTATCTAGGGTGGCCTTACATGATGGAAAGTTCTGACTATCGTCCGTCCAGTAGCTCCAGTGGGAACAGGTATTATAATTGTTTGATTGAACATGCGATTTACAATGCGTCAGTGATGAAATCTCTGTTCCCTCACGAAACAAGGTTTATATCCATCATACGAGAGCCCTGGTCACATTTCAAGTCCACTTTTCATTATTTTAACATGCAGAAGCTGGCACATGTTGTGTCGGACACTCCATTATCAACATACCTACAGGATATTCAGACCTACGAGAAGATTTATAAGAGTCCTGAAGCAGCGTCACATAGGTACTGTATCCCTGACGGCTTTTCCGTGACCAGGAATCTCATGTGTCACTGTATGGGTATGAAGACTGGATTTCCTGAAGGTGCCATAGACATCAGCAAAAACACCAGAGCTGTACAAGACTTTCTAAACTGGACAGAAAACGAATTTTCCCTCGTCATGATTGCCGAATATTTTCACGAATCTTTGGTTCTTCTCAAGCGAATGATGTGTTGGACAATGAAGGATATTATATATAAACGAGTCAATTCAGCAAAATACAAATATGAGGAGAACGATGGAGACAGGGCACTTCATGAACGCTGGAGCCGTGCTGATTATCAACTCTACAATTTTTTTAATGAATCTTTCTGGGAGAAAGTTGTGTATCAGGGAAAGACTTTTAATCAAGAAGTTCAAATCTTTACAAAAATTCAAAAGTCTGTAAATGTATTTTGTAATTTTTCATCAGAGAGTGGTAAAATAGACCCCATGTTTAACATGACTAAGACAGTCTTGTCAATTCCACAAAACAAGTTTAGCTTAGGGTTCACATTTACGCTGGAGGACTGTGAACTCCTCGGCTCCGATCTGTTATCTTCCCTTAAAGAGCAGCACGAGGAACATACTCAATATGAGGACAAGGACCCACCTAAGCGAACCTGCTGATTGGCGGGTCCATTGATGAAGTTTTTGTCATATTCATTACCTGTAAACTTTGCTGAAGAAAAAAGTTGTTTAAAAACAAGTCCAACAAATATGAAAAATATTGAATGGCCCGAAATGTTTTAAACGAAGTTTTGCTTGTTTAACATTTCATAAAATGTAAGATCTTAGTTTGCCTGTTCCAAGTAGACAGTGATCAGTTAGTGACATATGGTTTATCTGAGTGATATCTATTTGCAACATTTGTATAGATGGTTTTACTTTAATCGTGATGGTACAATTAAAACTGTTTCATTACTACTACGTCAATGACCCAAACACATGCAATGCCACATATTAATTTGTATAGTTTGATACAGAGTTGTCTTTTCTGTATTGAATATTTTCCTTTATACATTTTTTTGAATGTCCTGCCTTTTGTTTACTCTTAGGGCTCTTTTTATCTGTATTTTTAAAAAGGGACCTGAGACAGCTAGCTGTTGGAAAAATGACAACATTGCTTTGGGAAAATAAAGCATTGAATTTGGAAAATTAAGATTATTATCTATCTTGGAATTGGTCACCAGACATCTGGAACTTCAGAAAAAGCCCTGAACATACATTTAATTTTCTATTATTATTTAACAGATTGTTTTTGTTATTATTATTTGTGATTTTTTTGTTTTTAGACCTATCTTGTCTGGGGAATAAACTACAGGATATAGTTTTCTATTTGACATGTAGTTATCTCCCTTCCACTGCAGGGATTCTTTGTTTGTACATGTGTTATTTACACTTTTATGTGTAGGACTATAAATTATTGTTGTAGAGTGGTGTTTGTGTGGTCGATACATGGTTGCTGTGATATTGAACATGTACTTGCGATTTTATTGACTTCATTCACTGGTATATATACTAGTAATACATGCAGACAATTACCTATTTCATCCATGTTAACAACAATAAGTCTGTTCAAAATTTTTATGTTTAGATTTTCATTTGAAAACTAAGCTTTGGTATCCTTGCTAAAATTTTGTTGAATATCTCTTGCCAATGATTTGAAATTTAATTTGCTTACTGATTTATTAAGTAGCTATTTATCCATCGTAATAGACAATGGCCATGGGAATACCTGTATGTTATATATAGAATCTGTCAGTAAAAATAAATATACAAAAGTTCAGTATATTTCTACCTGACAGTGGTAGGAAAGAGTTAAAAATGGATTCAAAATTAATTTCCAATTCTCTCTCCAAAAATCTTTCATTTCAAGTAGTATCATGCATCAAATACCTGGACAACTAATTAGTTGTATCTAAAATATAATTATCTCATAGTTTTCTTTGCAGTTTTCAATATAATTTGAGATTTTTTTGTTGGAGCTTGATGGAAACTTTACCTCAACATACATTTTTGTATGTACATGTACTACCAAAATAACCTTCCTAATTTATGTTATTAAATGTGACATCCTGTTATAGAACTTGATGGTTATAAATGTCAGACAATATAAACTACACACACATGCATGTGACTTCAGTAACCTATACACCTATGTACCCATAGTAACATACACCCTAGTATGACTTCAGTAACCTACAACCCCATGTAACAACAGTAACCTATATAGCCCCATATACATGTACCCATAGTAACATACAACGCCATGTAACAACAGTAACCTATATAGCCCCATGTACCCATAGTAACATACACCCCCATGTAACAACAGTAACCTATATAGCCCCATATACATGTACCCATAGTAACATACAACGCCATGTAACAACAGTAACCTATATAGCCCCATGCACCCATAGTAACATACAATCCCATGTAACAACAGTAACCGATATAGCCCCATGTATCCATAGTAACATACAACCCCATGTAACAACATGTAGTAAACTATATAGCCCCATGTACCCATAGTAACATACACCCCCATGTAACAACAGTAACCTATATAGCCCCATATACATGTACCCATAGTAACATACAACGCCATGTAACAACAGTAACCTATATAGCCCCATGGACCCATAGTAACATACAACCCCATGTAACAACAATAACCTATATAGCCCCATGTACCCATAGTAACATACAATCCCATGTAACAACAGTAACCGATATAGCCCCATGTATCCATAGTAACATACAACCCCATGTAACAACATGTAGCAACCTATATAGCCCCATGTACCCATAGTAACATACACCCCCATGTAACAACAGTAACCTATATAGCCCCATATACATGTACCCATAGTAACATACAACGCCATGTAACAACAGTAACCTATATAGCCCCATGCACCCATAGTAACATACAATCCCATGTAACAACAGTAACCGATATAGCCCCATGTATCCATAGTAACATACAACCCCATGTAACAACATGTAGTAACCTATATAGCCCCATGCACCCATAGTAACATACAATCCCATGTAACAACAGTAACCGATATAGCCCCATGTATCCATAGTAACATACAACCCCATGTAACAACATGTAGTAACCTATATAGCCCCATGCACCCATAGTAACATACAACCCCATGTAACAACAGTAACCTATATAGCCCCATGCATCCATGGTAACCTACAATCCCATGTAACCACAGTAACCTATATATAAGCCCCATGCACCCATGGTAACCTACAATCCCATGTAACAACAGTAACCTATATAGCCCCATGCACCCATAGTAACATACACCCTAATATGACTTCAGTAACCTACAACCCCATGTAACCACAGTAACCTATAGCCCCATGCACCCATAGTAACATACAATCCCATGTACCTGGTAACCACAGTAACCTACTCCCCCATGTGACCAGAAATAGTATAACCTACGCTTCATTTTTATACATGTTTTGTTTCTGCAACTTTAATACTTCATAGTATACGATGCCATAATGTTGTATGGAGGTATAAATTCTAAAAATGTACCTTTGAATTGTAAAAAACAATTTGTTTTGTTAATGTGCCATTTGTTGTTACGAGATTATAGTTGAATACCAAATAAATGTTTTGAAACATTTGTTAAGGGATTTCGTTTCTTTATATTTAATATCAATATTTTGTAATTGAAGAATTCAGTTAAAGGTACAGCGACGCCAATGTTTCCGAATTTTACATATGCCTGCTAAAGATGGGAATTATTGTCTGGCTGGCTGGGCATCAACAATATTTGTCTGAATCTTAACTTTCTTGCTATTTCACCTGCATTCACCAAACTTGCATACCATTGAAGAATGGGGAGTGTTGCCTACAACAAAGGTGTCTCATGCTGTTAGGTGTAGGAGTTATGGTACTTTGTTCGTTTTGTAGCCCACCAACATCTGATATAAATTGGGCTGATCAAATTGCCTTTTTTCCTACAGTAGTTTATCATTCATAGAAATCAAGCAGATGGTCCCCATTTTGGATGGGCCTGTGGATGTTAACCAATTTTGCTATACTTACTGGAAGTTGGAATATCACATAATGAGATTGGATCATACTTTATACAGAGTTATGGCCCTTTGTTATCCCCAGCTCAAAAAAGTTGACAGGAAAACACAAACAGGTTTCCTCTGTGCATTCGTCCAGCCATCAGTATAGATCTGTGCACAATCTAATTAAAAATATATCTTCACATTGTTCCGTTTACTGACAAATCTCAACCCATGCATCAAGTGCTGGATACGGCCTACCTTTCATGATGGTCCATTGACTTTGTCAGCATCTCCATCAACATTAAGTTTTTGCATTTAAGTTAGTTTCTCTGAAACTATAAATATAAGTGCTAGACCAACCAAACTTGACTAAATGTGCGTTGATGGTCAAAGCGGGGCACAGGCGAGACATATCAATCAGAATGGCTTGTTTAAAAGTTAAGGCAAACGCAAAAGAGCCTATTATTATATAGTATATACCTTTGGCAAGTGAATTGAACACCACTATGTTACCTCATTCAACACAATCTAAGAAATACATCTTCTTTCTTGAGTAAAAAAGGTATTTTGTGGGAACGAGTTACATTTCATGCAGGTGCTGCAAGTTTCATACCTGAAAATGTTACATGATTGCCTTTTATTCTTTTCTTTTGTGAAAAACTCACAAAAAGAATAAAAAATGATATCAGGAGGAGGGACATTTTTGTTCCAAGACTGCATGAATAAAACAGATGACCAAAAATAGATACAATAAGTTAAGATATTTATTGTGTGGTATTTTCAGGACCTAAGGATTTTAAGGTCAAGGTCACATATTGAGGTCAAAGTTTAATCAATTAGTACAGTACAGTTCAGACAGGTTATCAGTTGCCTGAATATATAGTGTAGACTAATCCCCCGTTATATGGTCGATATACAGTGTATCATATTGATGTTTGATTAATTGTAGTTGTTGCCAGAAATTAGGTGTCGTAATCAATACACACTACATGTGTATAATTTTTGATGTGCTTTATATTGATTTTCAAAATGATATCATTCCATACCATGTCCTATGGCGTTTTATCTAAAAACCCTGTCTATTTGTTATCTGGCCTTTGTTATTGATTTTGTGCACTTTCAGTTAGAAATACTAACAATGATTTTTAATGTTTTATCTCATATAAAAGCTATCAAGTCAAGGTCAAGTAAAGAATGGCCTTTTCAGGTAGCTAGGAATTAACTGCTGATAGAAGTTTGGTAAATGTCAAAATGCTCTGCTGGTAGAAGTTTGGTAAATGTCAAAATGCTCTGCTGGTAGAAGTTTGGTAAATGTCCAAATGCTCTGCAGGTAGAAGTTTGGTAAATGTCAAAATGCTCTGCTGGTAGAAGTTTGGTAAATGTCAAAATGCTCTGCTGGTAGAAGTTTGGTAAATGTCAAAATTCTCCGCAGGTAAAAGTTTGGTAAATGTCAAAATCCTCGCTGTTAAAACTTTTGTAAATGTGGAAAAGTTTGCCATTAGCAGTATAATAAGTTATAACATACATGTTGGTGGTCAGAATTATATTTGAATATCCAACTTGATATAACATTGCACACCTGAGACCTAAAATGACCATGTGTGGTATGTCGTGATTTCTACGCCTGGTTGGTGTTGAATACCTGTGAAGTTAAGTCGTTGAATGGCTTCTATGATTTATCCTGCCTAGCTACTTAAGTACCTTAAACGGCATGTGGGCACACGTCAAGATACGACCCCATAGAGTTCATTTCAATACAAAGACTACATTAGCATTATGCTAATATTACAGGTCATTTAAATTTGTACATATGAATTCTATAGCCAATATACCTTTAACCATTTAATGTTATCCACCAATATAACCTAGACGGCACAAAGAACTTGAAGTAGAAGAATGTATCAGAGTGTAAATATACACAGTTATAGAAGACGGATTATCAACTGGTGTATAAGAGTCTGATCTCTGTTCTAGGGACTGGCGTCCGTAATATCACTTTGTACTGAAAAATATCTGAGAACATTTAACTCTGCCAAACACCTGAAAAGTATTCCTTGGCTTAAAGGTCTAGGATCTGTCCCTGAAGGAGCTAGAGTAGTACCCCTGAGGAGTGTGGAACCCCTGAAGAGTGTTGTGTTTTGTTTAAATGCCTATGATTACCCAGCACTTTTCACACCAGTTTATAGATTACAGGTGCTGTTAAACACCAAAGTTATATTGATTTATAGATTGACGGGAAATTCACTGGTACCATATTTTGTGATAGAAAGGTTGTCACATTTTATAGTCTATGCAGTGTGTTGACACGGAGAAGAAAGTGGTGTTGGTCGTCAGTTGGACATGCGATGGTCATCTGATGTCTTTTCTGATAATGACTACTTCATTATAGCTTCATTGAAAAGACTTGACCTTTAAATTACTCAAAGTGAAACTGTATTAGTGGTGTTTTCAATCATAATTTCATTTGTCATGGTGCATGACAACTATGGCGATGTGAAAAAATCTGTGAAATACGAAAAGGAAAGTGGGCAACCGTTAGTGTAGTGTTAGGCCTAATCATGGATCCTACTTGGTGCTGTGAGTGAACAGTCCTCATATACTCCGGGGGACAGTGGTTTTCAGTGAGGAAATATGGAGCTGTCACCAGATATGGAGGTTCAGAGTCTTAATCCAGACCTTGACTTGGACACACAAGTAGGTACTACACACATACCCAGAACTTGACTGGGACACACAAGTAGGTACCACATACATACCATTACCTTGACTGGGACACACAAGTAGGTACCACATACATACCCAGACATCGACTGGGACACACAAGTAGGTATCACATACATACCCAGACCTTGACTGGGACACACAAGTAGGTACTACACACTTACCTAGAACTCGACTGGGACACAATTTGGTACCACATACATACCCAGACCTCGACTGGGACACACAAGTAGGCACCACATACATACCCAGACCTTGACTGGGACACTTGGACACACAAGTAGGTACCACATATAACCAGAACTTGACTGGGACACACAAGTAGGTACCACGTACATACCCAGACCATGACTGGGACACACAAGTAGGTACCACATAGAACTAGATACCCAGACATCGACTGGGACACACAAGTAGGTATCACATACATCCCCAGACCTTGACTGGGACACACAAGTAGGCACCACATAGAACTAGACCTTAACTGGGACACACAAGTAGGTACCACATAGAACTAGACCTCGACTGGGACACACAAGTAGATACCCCATACATACCCAGACCTTGACTGGGACACGCAAGTAGGTACCACATACATACCCAGACCTTGACTGGGACACATAAGTAGGTACCACATATACCCAGACCTCGACTTGGACACACAAGTAGGTACCACATATACCCAGAACTCGACTGGGACACACAAGTAGGTACCACATATACCCAGAACTCGACTGGGACACACAAGTAGGTACCACATATACCCAGAACTTGACTGGGACACACAAATAGGTACCACATATACCCAGAACTTGACTGGGACACACAAGTAGGTACCACATATACCCAGAACTCGACTGGGACACACAAGTAGGTACCACATATACCCAGAACTCGACTGGGACACACAAGCAGGTACCACATATATCCAGAACTTGACTGGGACACACAAGTAGGTACCACATAGAACTAGACCTCGACTGGGACACACAAGTAGGTACCACATAGAACTAGACCTCGACTGGGACACACAATTAGATACCACATAAAACTAGACCTCGACTGGGACACACAAGTAGATACCACATACATACCCAGACCTTGACTGGGACACACAAGTAGGAACCACATAGAACTAGACCTCGACTGGGACACACAAGTAGATACCACATACATACCCAGACCTCGAAAGGGACACACAAATAGGTACCACATACAAACTCAGACCTTGACTGGGACACACAAGTAAATACCACATACATACCCAGACCTCGACTGGGACACACAAGTAGGTACCGCACACATACCCAGACCTCGACTGGGACACACAAGTAGGTACCAAATAGGACCAGACCTCGACTGGGACACACAAGTAGGTACCACATACAAACTCGGACCTTGACTGGGACACACAAGTAGATACCACATACATACCCAGACCTCGACTGGGACACACAAGTAGGTACCACATACATACCCAGACCTTGACTGGGGCACACAAGTAGGTACCACATACATACCCAGACCTTGACTGGGACACACAAGTAGGTACCCCATACATACCCAGACCTTGACTAGGACACACAAGTAGGTACCACATACATACCCAGACCTTGACTGGGACACACAAGTAGGTACCACATACATACCCAGACCTTGACTGGGACACACAAGTAGGTACCACATACATACCCAGACCTTGACTGGGACACACAAGTAGGTACCACATACATACCCAGACCTTGACTGGGACACACAAGTAGGTACCACATACATACCCAGACCTTGACTGGGACACACAAGTAGGTACCACATACATACCCAGACCTTGACTGGGACACACAAGTAGGTACCACATACATACCCAGACCTTGACTGGGACACACAAGTAGGTACCACATACATACCCAGACCTTGACTGGGACACACAAGTAGGTACCACATACATACCCAGACCTTGACTGGGACACACAAGTAGGTACCACATACATACCCAGACCTTGACTGGGACACACAAGTAGGTACCACATACATACCCAGACCTTGACTGGGACACACAAGTAGGTACCACATACATACCCAGACCTTGACTGGGACACACAAGTAGGTACCACATACATACCCAGACCTTGACTGGGACACACAAGTAGGTACCACATACATACCCAGACCTTGACTGGGACACACAAGTAGGTACCACATACATACCCAGACCTTGACTGGGACACACAAGTAGGTACCACATAGATACCCAGACCTTGACTGGGACACACAAGTAGGTACCACATACATACCCAGACCTTGACTGGGACACACAAGTAGGTACCACATACATACCCAGACCTTGACTGGGACACACAAGTAGGTACCACATACATACCCAGACCTTGACTGGGACACACAAGTAGGTACCACATACATACCCAGACCTTGACTGGGACACACAAGTAGGTACCACATACATACCCAGACCTTGACTGGGACACACAAGTAGGTACCACATACATACCCAGACCTTGACTGGGACACACAAGTAGGTACCACATACATACCCAGACCTTGACTGGGACACACAAGTAGGTACCACATACATACCCAGACCTTGACTGGGACACACAAGTAGGTACCACATACATACCCAGACCTTGACTGGGACACACAAGTAGGTACCACATACATACCCAGACCTTGACTGGGACACACAAGTAGGTACCACATACATACCCAGACCTTGACTGGGACACACAAGTAGGTACCACATACATACCCAGACCTTGACTGGGACACACAAGTAGGTACCACATACATACCCAGACCTTGACTGGGACACACAAGTAGGTACCACATACATACCCAGACCTTGACTGGGACACACAAGTAGGTACCACATACATACCCAGACCTTGACTGGGACACACAAGTAGGTACCACATACATACCCAGACCTTGACTGGGACACACAAGTAGGTACCACATACATACCCAGACCTTGACTGGGACACACAAGTAGGTACCACATACATACCCAGACCTTGACTGGGACACACAAGTAGGTACCACATACATACCCAGACCTTGACTGGGACACACAAGTAGGTACCACATACATACCCAGACCTTGACTGGGACACACAAGTAGGTACCACATACATACCCAGACCTTGACTGGGACACACAAGTAGGTACCACATACATACCCAGACCTTGACTGGGACACACAAGTAGGTACCACATACATACCCAGACCTTGACTGGGACACACAAGTAGGTACCACATACATACCCAGACCTTGACTGGGACACACAAGTAGGTACCACATACATACCCAGACCTTGACTGGGACACACAAGTAGGTACCACATACATACCCAGACCTTGACTGGGACACACAAGTAGGTACCACATACATACCCAGACCTTGACTGGGACACACAAGTAGGTACCACATACATACCCAGACCTTGACTGGGACACACAAGTAGGTACCACATACATACCCAGACCTTGACTGGGACACACAAGTAGGTACCACATACATACCCAGACCTTGACTGGGACACACAAGTAGGTACCACATACATACCCAGACCTTGACTGGGACACACAAGTAGGTACCACATACATACCCAGACCTTGACTGGGACACACAAGTAGGTACCACATACATACCCAGACCTTGACTGGGACACACAAGTAGGTACCACATACATACCCAGACCTTGACTGGGACACACAAGTAGGTACCACATACATACCCAGACCTTGACTGGGACACACAAGTAGGTACCACATACATACCCAGACCTTGACTGGGACACACAAGTAGGTACCACATACATACCCAGACCTTGACTGGGACACACAAGTAGGTACCACATACATACCCAGACCTTGACTGGGACACACAAGTAGGTACCACATACATACCCAGACCTTGACTGGGACACACAAGTAGGTACCACATACATACCCAGACCTTGACTGGGACACACAAGTAGGTACCACATACATACCCAGACCCAGACATTGACAGGGATACTCAAGTGGGTACCACATACATACCCAGACCTTGACTGGGACACACAAGTAGGTACCACATATACCCAGACCTCGACTGGGACACACAAATAGGTACCACAAAGGACCAGCTAGACCTCGACTGGGACACACAAATGCAAATATAGGTACCACATATGGTTTAAGAGTTATGTCAAAGTCATTAAGATTTACGCATAAACTTCAATATAAACAGGGAATCACAATGTTTTATGTGGACCTTAGTGTAAATTGATTCTGTCTTTAATAAAAGACCCGATTGGAATTATTCTGTAATAATGTGTAATGGTTTACATAATTTGCATGCAACTAAAGTACTGTGTTAGTGTTGGGTATTTAATAAACAGTATATAGGGACATTTAAATTTTCTGAATCCTGTTGACAAACAAATAGTGACAAATCTTTACATTTGCAGACCGTTACCTATATATTGTCAACGATATATATATAATATCCTATGTAAATTTACCTACAAAAGTCTTGTTGGAGGCTTATTACTGTGTTGATACTTTTAAAGGTAATTATGTATAGGTTTGACATCTTTCGCCATTTTTATCTAGAGCGGTTAATGATAGCAAGAACTGTAACAAATATAGTTACACTACAGCTGTCATGTATTTCAGTAGTTGATCATACAGTGAAATCAGTTGTACGTGGCACAATTAGTTATGACGTATGGTTACAATTTCATATGACTATAGAAACACTCTGTTAGGGTATAAACACATTTATTTAAACTACATACCAATAACACCATTATGACATGGTGGCTTTAGTAGTGCTGAAAGTGGGATTGGTGACCTGTTTATGGTCAGTTCTAACGAACAAGCTTTAACATTGAATATGGCATGGTGCCCCTGACTAAAACAAGTATTGTTCCTTGCTATGATTTTCTATTGGTATGACAGTTCCCTT